AGCCGAATAGAGCATATGCCTGGAAGCAGGATCTCAACAGACTGAGACAAATGCTTCAGTTGGTAGGTGTTTTTTTGGTTTTTTTTTTAATGCATTTGAGATTAAGGAGGGAAAGTAAGGGAGATTACGTGAAGGTGGGAGAAAGCAAGACAGGGATCAGGTTACCAGATTGTTCACTGGCTGTGTCCCCTTGAGGGCCATCAGTCTTTAGAAGGAGGGGCCCAAAAGGCTGGTCCTGCTCTGGAAGGCCGGCCCTGAAGAGGGGCATTTCAACGTCTGTTAACCCAGATGCACAGAAGCAACGGGCAGGGCTTGCTTAAGGCAGAGACAGGCCTTTTACCGAAGAGGTTCTGCGGCTCCGACTGGCGTGGCTCAGTGGGCTGGGCATCGTCCCGCAAACAAAAAGGGTCACCGTTTCCAGTCCCCATCAGGGCACACGCCTGGGTTGGGGGTGTTGGGTGGGCGTGGCTCTCCCTCTCTTTCTCCCTCCCTTCACCTCTCTCTAAAGACAAACAAACACACAAACAAACAAACAAATAAAGTCTTTTTTAAAAAGTTACATTCCTGGGCTGACTACCCACCATGACCTGCCTGCCCAGTTAGGGATTTATGATCAGATCACTCTGTGAGGTGACTTTCCATAGAATTCCTTTTTCTGTCCACAGTGCTGAGGTTGAGAGACACTGCTTTGCTGCATCTTAGAACAACTCCAGGATGGTTTCTGGCAGCGCAGACGTGGGGGGAAGAGACCCAGGAGGACCAGAAAGCCTGCCGTCCACCCCCTGCCCACACACCTACACGCATCTTTGGGCCTTTGGTCCGTCCTCTGTCACAGGTGCACAGTCAGGGCTGGCTCTGCCTGCTTGACAGAGGTGCTTGGGGCTGAAATAGGAGAAAGCAAGTGAGGGCACCTGCCAGGGGAGGTGGATGGTGAGGCTGGGCATGGGGGGGGCAGGAAAGCCACCCTCTGACCTACTGTAGTCACATGGCCAAAACTTTCCAAGATACCACGTCCAGTGCTCTGTCCCTTCCTCGTCTTCAGAAGTAAAGCAGACAATGCAGGTCATGCGTGCCTCAGGTTCAAAAACACCCAGCTGTAGCTCCTTCCTCCTCTTCTTCATTCTTTCTTTATCATATATGTTTTTGGGAATTTGAAAGTATGCCTGTATAATCTTCTCAAATACAAAAATAGAAGCCTACAGGACACACTGATTTATAAGGAACTTTCCCCCACATTTATCAGTAGATCGTAACTATCTGTCCCTGAAATCAGCTTCATTTCTGCAATTTTATTTTAGTAGATTCATTTAACCATCAATTGAACCAATCCCCTACTCTGAGACCTTTCTGTTGTTTCCAAATTTCCTCTGCTCCAGTCCATGCCACGACACACATCTTGGTGGCTTCTGTGTGTGTCCCTTCATGATTTTTCCTTAGGAGATAATATCCTTTAAAATAGAATTTCTGGCCCAAAGTGTACATGTATTTATTTCACAAACAGTATTTTTTAAATAAAGACGATCACATTTTGGGAAATCCAGAAAAATAGCAAGAAGGAAAAATTCTGGATTTGGACACAACCACCGTCAACATTTTAGTGGATTTCCTTTTCACATTTTGTACTCTCCGTGGCTCCTTTTCTTGGAAAAAAGATGACCACATAACTACTTTGTAACTTCTAATTGGTTAAAGGTTTTACCATAACCATTTCCTGTGCATTGTTAGTGGCTCCATCATACCCCGTCGTGGGCCTGGGCCCCAGCTTACTTGAACAGTTTCGCAGGCTGAGACCTGAGGTGGTTTCCAGTTTTCTACAATTGTTAATATTGCTGCAGTGAACCTTTTTATGAGTGAGGTTCCCACCCCCTTGAATTTGTGGTGAATTCCTTAGGATTTCCAGAAGCGAAACTGTTGGGTCAAATGGGAAAAAAGTTTTTAGAGTTCGTTGATGTACATTGCCAAATCATTTTAAAAGCCTTATGCCCCGTGAATCTGGGTAGTTCACACATTAAGCCTTTTACACCTATGGCTTAATTGGCTCTTGAAGAGCTTGTCCTGATTTATCCTCCCAACATTGGAATCTGAGGGGTCTAGGCCCTTTCTGGGATGGCTGGGCCCCAAACACAGGCAAACTGAGGCGGGAACAGCCCCCTTAACCCTTGCACAATTCCCAAGGGCTCAGTGTAGCCTGCCTTAGCTGCCTCCGGGCCTGGAGCGCCCCCTGCAGCCCAAATGAGGAACTACCATTCTCGTCCTGAGACCTGGGCTCCATTCCCACCAAGCCCTCCTCTGGTCTCCATCCAAGTTGGCATGTGTCCCAAGCAGGTGCTGGGTCTGTCGCAGCCTGTTCGAGGTTTCCATTGTCTTCCTCATGCAACACAGGAACACAGCCCATGATGTGTCAGCCTTCCTTTGTGTTTCCTCTGCTTAAGTTTTACCCCTTCAAGGTCACATGTAACCAGTCTGCTTACTTTTCACTTAGCTACACCGCCCCGCCCCCCATCTTCCCACGTGGTCTTCAAGCTCCTCTCTCAGAGGAGCAAAGTGGCCGGCCTGAGTTGCGGTCTTCTTTGAGTCTCAGTTTCCTCACCTGTAGAATGGCGATAATACTCCCCATGCTGCAGGGTTATTACAAAGAGGAGCAATTATCCCAATAAAAAGCCTAGCCTTTAGCTCAAGATGGTAGACTGAAAACCTGCCTTCACCTCCCCTTCTTTCTGAAAATCGATCAAAAGAAACTTTTAAAAGTCAAGGAGGGAAAACAAGAAAAATAATAAAAGACCCGAGGATTGGAGTTTGTGCAGGAGAGGCCATTGCATGAAGTGAAAGTTGCCTGGCCCTTGCTGGCCCCTTGTGCTAGATCCAGTTAGATTTGGGCAGATCGAAGATTGCTTCCGATAAACCCCACCGGCCCGGCCCCTGCGCCCCAGGCATGCAGGTTCTGAAAACAGGCCCATGCCCTTCTTCAGGCAAACATATAAGTCTGTTCCCCATTATCTGGGTACCCCATCCATCCTGCCTGACCTATGTGACCCCTTCCCACCTGCCACATGGTGCAGAAACTATCCATGTCATCTTGCTGTCCCCCCAATGAGCCTCATATGTATATAAGTTCCCTTAAAAAACTCTTCATGTAACGATGGAGCTGTCGGCCTCTTTCTTTGGTCTCTTGGCCTGAGAGATTTTACACAGCAGTGTGAGAGAGGATGATTTTGACAAGTATAACATTTTTCTGGAGTACCAGGATGGGTCGAGTCCCATTTGTGGGCCAATGGGAGTAGAGAAAGCCGCAGCTCAGCTCAAGCAGTAGATAGAAGTAAGTGTGTGTGTGTGTTTGCGGGGGGGGGGGGTTACGTTGTGGGGGGAGTCAGGCTGGAAAGCAGCAGGCGAAGGAGCCGCAGAAGCCAGGGTGGTGACTAATGGAAGATGGGGCTGTGGACCTGCCAGGTGGCCCCAGGTTGGCCTCCCACACCTCTCCTTGCACAGCTCCACCACTTGCCCCCAGGCTGAGACTGTGAGGAGTTCTGCAAAGAAGGGGAGTAACAAGTCTGGGAGGGGCCGGGCTGCCGAGGGAGGGTTAGAGAGGGACCAGTTCTGACCCGGGCATGCCGGAGCCGAGTCTGCCAGCCCACAAGCCCAGCCCACACCCACAGAGCCTGTTTTCACTCCAAGAAGCAGAAATAGTTCAAAAAAGTGAAAACTGAATGATAAAAATTTTTTTAAAAACTTTAAAACAGCTTTCACTCATCAGAGAGATTCAAGAAATTACTCCATTCAAAAAATTAAAACAGCCCTGGCTGGCACGGCTTAGTTGGTAGGAGTGTTACCCTGTAAACCAAAGGGTCACAGGTTTGACTCCTGGTCCGGGCACATACCTAGGTTATGGGATTGGTGCCCTCTCAGGGCACATGCTAGAGGCAACTGATTGATGTTTCTCTCCCTCTCTTTCTCCCTCCCTTCCTCTCTCTGTCTCTTTAAAAAAAATCAGTGAGCATGTCCTTGGGTGAGGATTAGTATTATAACAACAATAATCATAATAGTAATAATAAAAAAACAGGCCCTCGCTGGGTAGCTCAGTTGTTAGAGCACCATCTCGATGCCCCAGGGTTGTGGGTTCGGTCCCCAGTCAAGGCACATATAAGAATCAACCAATGACTGCATGAATAAGTGGGGTAGTAAGAACTCTGATAAGTACATCAGCAGCCTGGGGGAAATAACAAAACCTCGGTTTCTCATTACACTGACTGCTGTGAAATGCAAGAACCTGAATGAAGAGCATCCATGTCTCCCGGTGCACATCTGCCCAGGCACCCCTCCCTGAAGGTTGACTTGAATAACCAAACCGGGGCAGCTACTGCCCTCAGTTTCTTGGCCTTGAGGATCTGCACCAGATCTGCACTGACCCCCTATGGCTGATTCAATGCTGAAGTCCCTCGAACAGCACCATTGACACCACAAGGTGTTCTGGGCCAACACTATGCCCGGAGAGCCTGGCTAAACCTGGGCCACCCCCCACGCAGACCGTGTACAAGTGGTGTCTTAGGGCGGGAACCCCAGGAAGCACTGGTGGGAGAAGGGAGAAGTGAGACAGAGAAGGAGGGATGCTGGTACGGGGTATGTCAATGGCCAGGCCACTGCAGTGGGCCACTGAGGGTCAGGGCTGCTGGGGACTCCTGGGGGACGGTGTGGACCGGGTCTCAGGTTTGTCCCACTGTAAGGGCGAAGATACCGAGGGTATTTATTTTATCTACTAATTCCTGTTTGTCATCGGTTAAGGGCTGTTCCCAATGGCCTTGACTTCCCCGGTCCCCCCAGCCTACCCTGTGCTTGCATCAAGAAAGCTCAGGTGGCAGGGGACAGCCCCCAGGCATAGGTGCAGGAGCCTGCGGGTAGTGGCCACGTGCAGAAGGGTCGCAGGCTGGTCACCGCTGTCTCCGCACTGGAGTCAGCCCTTCAAGGTCCCTCCAGGTTAGGGTAAAACAGCTCTCTGCCCACCAGACAACCGAGAGTAAAAACTTTATTGCTTCAAGCACTTCACAGGAATGTCACCGCCACCGTGTTGGGGTGAATATACAAAAAGTACAATCCTTTCCACTTCTCCGCTAGCACTCCGTGCAGACGCTTCCCGGGCCTCGCCCTCGGCAAGGCCCGTGTGTCTCAGTGGCAGCAGCTGCACTTGGTGGAGTCCCCTTTGCAGATGCAGCCCTGGGCGCACTTGGCACAGCCCGGCGGGCAGCAGGCGCAGCAGCCTGGAGGGGTGGGGAGACGGACAGGTCAGCCTTGGGTCCACACTGCTGTCTTACCCCTTCCCCTCCCTCCACGTGGAGGAAGCGGGAAAAGAGGAGCCTGCCACAGGCTCAGCCCAAGGTCATGACCACCCAGGGATGTGAGGCTGTGGGACGCTGGAGCTGGGAGGGATCTCAGAGGCCAGGCAGAGCCCATCAGAGGCCCCAGAGACTGGGAGGGGCTTGGCCAAGGTTATTGGACAGTGGCTGATCCGGGACCCAAACCCAGAGCTGCTGACTGTAGCCCAGGGCTCTCTCCCCTTTACTCTGGGCAGGCTGGAACCGCCCCTCAGCCCTCTTCCTGCTCTGAACCCCCAGGCACTGTGGATGCCCTCACCGCCAGGTGGGCTGCAGCCCCGGGGAGCCCAACTCTTGCTTCAGCTCGCTCCCAAGTGGGTAAAAGGCACCCAGAGGCCCTTCCTCCCCCCGCTGCTGGAGGGCTGAGGGAGGAGGGAACAGACTTTCCCAGCTCCGGGCCCGAGGTGCCCTGGTCGCCATACTCACTTTTTCGACATGTTTTACAGTTGCAAGTCGTGCATTTACAGTTGTCTCCACAGAGGCAGGCTCCTTCTGGAAGAGAGGACAGAGCCATCGTACCCGTGAGGACTGAGGCGGAGCGGGGACCACCGGGCGCGCTGCAGACCGCCACAGTGGCAGGATCGCCGGCTCTCCCTGGGCGGTGCTGCACTGGGGGACACAGACACGGCCGAGCATCCCCCCAAGTGGCGAGGACCATCCAGGGGTCTCCAGTCACAGTCCACGCAGGGAAACTGGGGTGGCTGCCTCAGCGACCCCCAGAATCCTCGTGAAAATGTAGATTCCTGAGACCAGCGTTTGACCTGTTCTGAGTCAAAGGTCTTGGTGGGGAAAGGGAGTTGGTATTTTTAAAATAACAACACCACGTGATTCTGCTGTCGAATCAGGGCAGAGAACCATGGGAGGAGGTGGACTCCCCCAGGCTCCGGGACTCCCAGGGACCATGGGAGTCTTTTGTACCCCCCTCGCCTTGCCCAGGTCCCAGGCAAGCGGGGAGCCCTGAATGGCTGGGCGGGAGAGCAAAGGGCATCAACGAGCCCAAGTGAGAGCCACAGGCGCTACTGTCTCCACATCACAGCAACCATCTACACTTTAAAAAATCACCCCACCTAGTGCTTTGAATTGCGAGATGCTGGAAGCTCCTGTCTCTGGCAAGTTTTGGGCACAGACACGTCCTGTGAAGGACCACAGAGGCCGGAGGGACTTCTTCATACCGTGTCTCAAGGCCATAAAACTCGAGATGGCTCTGAACCCCGGCCCCTCTCCTCCCGGCCAACGGGCTTCTGTGGCGTTAGGCGGTGTCACAGACATGGGAGTCCCCACGCACTTCTAACGACTCCCCAGACACCTGCTGGTGCTGTATGATTCCTGCACTTTCACAGCTTCCCTGGGAGGTGGGCACGGGGTGGGGGGTGAGTAACCTAGTTTTCAGGTGAGGAAACGGAGGCCTGGAAATGGTAAATGTTAGAAGTGATGGACGCAATGGATTGAAACCAGGCAGCCAAGCTCTGGGCTTGAGCTCTTGAACCCCCGTCCTGGTGGCAGCTGTTAGGGGCCCTGCTGCTAGGCACCCCCCACAGTCATTCCAGAGCCAGGCTATCATTTCTAGCAAATCAGGCCGGCAGCCAAAGGAGAGGGGGAGCTACCCCAGGGTCTCTAGTCTGAAACCAGCACCACTGGCGGCTCCTCACTGGGGGAAGAGAAGCATGAATCAGACTCCAAGCGGGGGCATCCTCACTCACCAGACATGCAGGAGCATTCCCTGGGGTCCATGGTCCAGGTCTTCGCGAGGCTCCAGCGCTGTCTCTGCTGGGGAAGGCAGGCCGAGTGAGCAGCCACCGGAGGCTGCCTATTTATAGCCGTGTAGCTGCAGGTGCAGGTTCACCCCACCTCTCCCTGGGGCCAGACGCCGTGCACACGGCCCAGCCAGATACCACGGGCTGGGGGTTGGGGAGCGCAAGCAGAAGAAGGGCACAGAAGAGCAAGAACAGTATAGTCATTGAAGTGGCTTTTCATTATGAGGTATGCAGGTGACTGTCCCCACTGACCTGCCCACCTGCTACGGTGTCAGAGACCCAGGACCGAGCTCTCTGGCACCTGCAGGGCTCCAGCTGGCAGCTGCATCCATTGAGTCTCCCTGTCCTGTGCATTCTACTACCTGCCACTCCTGTTCGCTCCTTCCCCGGGGCTGCTCCCGCCCTGGCTCAGGGTCTCCTTCTGTCTCCCCTGGGTGGGCAGGAGGGGCCGCTCCTAGGTTCTGGGTGGTAGAAGGCCCCATGCAGACCCTCTCCTGGATGTGGGTCCCAGGCCCCATAGCTGAGAAGGTCCAAAGTCAGGGCCACGTGCAACCTCTCCTTCCAGGCCATGCGTGGAGGAGCCAGTACTCATCCCAAGCCCACTGGCTGCCAAGGGTTGGCTCCGTCTCCTCCCTAGGTCCCCAAGGGCACATGCACAGCCCTTGTGTGTCCCTCTCAGCCTGAGGGGTGGCTGGGGGTGGCTCTTTGCGGGGGGTGGGGGGCAATCAGAATCTGGATGTGTGGGCTGGGTGCCCACCAGGGTGCATGAGGTCTCTCGCAGTGAGGGAAGAAGCTAGGTGTGGGAAGAGAAGGGACATGGGCCACAGGTTGAGGATCGGAGCCACTGGGCAGATCTGGCACCTCCGTGTTCCAGTGTGGGCACCTGAGAATCAGACATTTGAACTTGGCCATCCGGGTTACCCTGAACTTCACTTTGTCAAGGTAAGAGAATAGAACCTATTCCGTGTATTTGTTCATTGGACGCATGACTTTCAAATCTTGTAGCCAAGTGATATGTGGACCCCAGTTTTACTCTCGTTCTGCCCCTGTAAACACAGGGAGGGGCCTGGAATAGCCTCCCGTAGTCTCGTCCGCCCCCCACCTTCCATCCTCTGCACTGGCCCGAGAGGTATCACTGAAAGCAGCACAGGCCGTGGGACTCTCTTGCCCCAGACCTTCAGTGGCTCCCCACAGCTGTTGAATGAAGTCCTACATCTTTTTTTAAAAGTATATTTTATTGATTATGCTATTACAGTTTTCCTAATGTCTCCCCCCTTCTCCCCCCTCTACCCAGCACCCCCCAACCCTCCAGCATTTCCCCTCCCCGTTAGGTCATGTCCATGGGTTGCACATATAAGTATTTGAGTTCTCTGTTTCTTATACCATTTTTGACCTCTCCCCATCTGTTTAATGCTTACCAATTATGCTTCTTCTTCCCTGTACCTTCCCCCCTTTTCCTCCCTTCCCCCTCCCCACTGAAAACCCTCCATGTGATGTCCATTTCTCTGATTCTGTTCCTGTTGTAGTTGTTTGCTTAGTTTTTGTTGTTTTTCTTTCTTTTATTTTTTTTAGGTTCATTTGTTGATAGTTGTGAGTTTGTTGTCACAAAATTAAAGACAAAGAGAGAATCTTAAAAGCCGAAAGGGGAAAGGAGAGAATAACCTACAAAAAAGTTCCCATAAGACTATGAGCTGATTTCTCAAAAGAAATCTTGCAGGCAAGAAGGGGCTGGAAAGAAGTGTTTGAAGTCATGAAAGGCAAGGACATACATCCAAGATGACTCTATCCAGCAAAGCTATCATTTAGAATGGAAGGGCAGATAAAGTGCTTCCCAAGTAAGGTCAAGTTAAAGGAGTTCATCATCACCAAGCCATTATTATAGGAAATGTTAAAGGGACTTATCGAAGAAAAGGAAGATCAAAAATATGAGCAGTAAAATGAAGCCCTACATTTTAACCTTGCCTTTCAAGTTCAACTGACCTTTCCAAGTTCATCGCCCACTACTTCCTTCTACCTGTTCCACCAAAACCTGGGCGCTCCAGGATCTCCGTCATTGCCTTGAACTTTCCCAGGCCTGTGCTCCTGGCAGGTGTTCATATTTCTCCCTATCACCTTCCGTTCAAATAAATCCTCCCGACGAACCGAGGCGTGCGCTTCCGCTCCATCTCTTGGGTAGTGAAAACGAGAGGAAATTTGGGGAGGATTCAGCCAGCCCCTGGTCTCTACCATAACCCCATTCTTTGACATAGCAGCTACTACTTTTCAGTCTTATGCAAAGTGCGTGCCAGATGAACTTCAAGCTTCCCCCAGCAGCTGCCATCCGCACCCTCTCTCTGTGCAGGAATTCCTGAGCTGCCGCTGAACCTACTTCCTGCAGAAAGCTCCCTCCGATCTCTCCCTCTCTTGGCTGGGAGACACCTCTCCCTCCGTGGCCCCTCAGAGATGTGTTTGCACATTTCTCGTGGCATTTGCTGTCTTCTGTTCGGCTCTGTGTGATTGTGCGTGTTCATGACTTTTGTGTCCCTCGCCCCAGCCTGGGAGCTGTCAGGAGCAAGACCAGTGTCTGAAGCATCGCTATGTCCACACAATGTTCTGCACAATGTCTAGAGGATGTTGAGTGAATGAATGAATGAATGAATGAATCAGTCAATGAACCCGTCAGATGGATAGGTGAATGACTGAAGACATGAATGAGAGAGCGAGCATAGAAGTGAACAAATGAATGAGTGAACGAATGGTGAGCGGCAAAGGCATGACTCTCCCACGTGTGAATACTGAGGACCTCTGCTGAAAAATGCCGTCCCCATTCAGAAAGGCAATGACAACAACGAAAGGGCCGGGCGGGGGTGGAGGGTGGCTGCCATAACCTGTGGAGATAATGCCTCCCCATTTGCAGGTTACTAGGGTCTCCATCACTTACTCCTAAGGACCACCAGGGCCTCAGGCTGACCCATGGAACTGTGGGTCTCAGCTGAGAGTGTCTAGGGCGGAGGAAGGGGTCGCAGGGCCCTGGGGAGGGCTAGGTAGGGCAATATTGTCATGATCCCAAAGTGGTTCCTGCCAGAAGGGAGTTCACAGTCTAGTAGGGGACCCAGGCACATTCATTCATCCATTCATTCATTCATTCATTCAACAACGCCTGGGGCCAGCACTGTGCTGGGAGCCGAGGGTGAATAAAAATAGAGCTCGTGGTTCACAAGGTCAGGAGGACGTCTCAGCTCAGGAAACCCGCGGCGGGGGGGGCAGGGCTGCTCTCACAGCCCAGAGGCTGGAACCACCTTCCTGGGCCTGCGTTCCCAGCCCGGTCCCAGCCCATCTCCGGGCAGGTCGGCCTCCCCGCTGCGGCGTGGGTGTGCCGAGTCACCAATAATAATAACGATGCCTTGGAAGGGCTGGCCTGACCGAGTGAGCCCAGGGAGAGAGAGGCCTTTGCCTGTACCCTCGTCAAAGCCGCCTCTCCTCCCTCTTCACTCCCTGTAACCACTACCTGTGCGTTCACTGCCTGTGTGCTGCCTTCCTCAGTCCCTGACCAGGAATTGTTTCTTCTTTCGGCGACTGATGCTCTGATGTTGCTCAGTGCCCCGATGGAATAATAGCAAAACCCAATTCCCTGGTGGGAAGATATCACCCAGTTTCGGGGTTGCACAGTTTGAAACAGCGGTGCGTGGAGCAATCGGGTCCATGCTGAACTGCGCCCCAGGCTGACCGGTTGCTTTTCCACGGCCCCTTTCCCGCATCCGCAGGCCCCTTTGCACCTTGGCGCATCTTCTCCAGCCCAGCTCCTCGTCTCTGTGTGGGAGACAAGAGCACACACACCAGCCCAAGAACGTGCAGTGGCAGGCGGGCGCGGCTCACACCCACACTGAGAGAATAACTATTTCTTCGGAGACGTGACCCTTAGCCTTCTGGGAGGAGTCCGGGAGCCCTTTAAAATCTGAGGGAAACTCTAAACTCTTGACCCAGAAAACTAATGCGCAAACACACACAACACTTTCCCACACGTTCCAGGACTTAGTGGGTCTCCTAAATGCTGTTGGCGGCCCCCGCCCTGGGGTCCTGAGTTAAGAGGGCCCTTCTACAAAGGAGCAATCTGCCCGCAACGGCTTGTCTGTTGTTATGTCGCCGCCGTTGTGGCTTCTTCGAGCCACTGCACCCTCCATAGCTCCTTCCCCAGCTGTGGCCTCTCCTTGAGGCGTCAGTCAGGTGGTTCTCGGGGCGCAGTGGAACAGGCTGTTCCAAGGGAGCGGCGAACGCTCCGCTGCTCCCAAAACAAGAAGGGACAGGCTCCGCATCTTCTCCCCTTCTCGTAAACACACAGGCAATGCCCGCACCTGCACTTTCTGCTGGGAAGGAGTTTCTGGGACTCATGGCCTCAGGGCGGAGGTGCAGCCATGTGGCGTGGCCACGACTCCACACCCCGGTCCCTGGTTTGCTCTTGGGATGGCCATCCTTTCCCTTCGGACCTTCTGGACACGCGTGGCTCCCCGGGAGCAGCCTGGGGCCGTCGGCTCTGTTGTGCTGGTTTGTAAACTGATCTCTCTCTCTCTCTGTCTCTAGACCACAAGGGTCTCAAGAACAGAGGCTGTGCTCACTCGTCTCAGCAGCCCCGTGGCCAGGCGCACGGGATGCCGCCACACGGTGGGCACCGGAGAAGCGCTCACAGGCTGGTGGTGAATAAGTGGCTCAATCCACAGCTTTACATCCAGGCTGTCTTCCGTGGCTCTTGCTGAAGAGATTTAGAGAACCTTGTCGCTCACCGTGGGCACCCAAGAGCTTGAGAGCTGGAGTCCAGTGGCCTGGGTTCAAATCCGGGCTCTGCGCCTTCTTCGCCACATGACTCGGGGCCAGGTGTTGACCCCTCGGAGCCTCAGTTTACTTATCTGCAAAGTCAGAATAATGAAAAGGACAACCCTACAGCACTGTCATTATCGGGGGTTAAATGAGAGAAAGCATATTGAGTGCTTAGTTCAGAATCTGGCACATAAATATTATTAGCGTTATTGCTATTAATATTATTATTATTATGACCTGTGCCTATTA